TGAAGTCAATGGAAAATGCCAAATGATTGCACCCATTCCCTCTATAGCCCCACCCATGGGAGTCCACCTGCAGGCATTCAAGGCACACCACTGATGTTCACAGCCTTACCCAGGGAACACCTAACTCATCTATCAAGGCACACAGCACGGGGTTACCTTACTCCACCTACAGCCCCCAGGTAAGCATCTCAGGAGAAAGATGCTTTGCTCAAACCATCTGCAGCAGCTTCAGGTGAAGGGTCTTAAGTTGCAGGGTGAGAAGATCCTCTGCCTCAAAACCAAGCTACAAACTTGGAAGAAAGTCAAGTGTGTTGTAGTGGTTAGTGTGTTGATCTAGGACAGGGGAGGACAGGGTTCAAATCTCCCACAGCCATGGAAGCTCACTGAGTTTATCTGGAGCCAGTCACTCACTCTCAACCTAGCCTACTTTGCGGGTTGTTCTGTTCAGAACTCAATTCAAGTTAACTGGTAGAGAATTTGGGAACTACCGACATAATTGCCAGAAGGGGAGAGTACCCATGTTGTAAAAGGTAAAGGACCCCTGACAGTTAAGTCCAGTTGCGAACAACTCTGGGGTTGCGGCGCTCATCTCGCTTTACAGGCCGAGGGAGCTGGCGTTTGTTAGGTTGGCAGGAGCTGAGACTGAGCAACGGGAGCTCACCCCATCATGGGGATTTGAACCGCCGACCTTCTGATCAGCAAGCCCTAGGCTCTGTGGTTTAACCCACAGTGCCACCGCACCTTATTTCAAGTTATCAGTGGACCATGGAGATGACAGTATATAGAAAAGAATCTGCTTTACACAGGGGTGGCTAATCCTTTTTTGGGCCTGAGGTGCCACACACTTGCATGAGCATGCAGATCACCTGAGGCAGAGGCTATGGCTCTGCTCATTATTGATCTGATGACAAGGAGGGTGTGGTCTTCGTATGAACCAGGTTGCTAGGTGGAGAGGTTTAAATCTACTTTTTTTAAAAAAAATACACTTTTTTGCTGCCACTGTGAAACCTGGTAGGATTTGAGGGAGGTGGGGATAAAAATAAGCTGGGGTGGTTTCATCAGGTCCCCGACTTAGCCACCCCTGTGTTACACTCCCCATCAAACACCCTAACATACATACACCAATAGCAAGGTACTTAAAGAACCCAAGGTACAAATTTGTGCCTACTAATTTGCTATTATTTATGGGACTTGTATCCCACCTTTCTTCTACAAGGAGCTCAAGGAGCTACATGGTTCATCTGCCCCTCCTCATTCAATCCCCACAACAACCTTGTGAGGTAGGTTAGGCTGAGAGGTTGTGACTGGCCCAAGGTCACCCAATGAGCTTAATGGCCAAATGGGCATTTGAACCCTCTAAGGCCGTGGTTCCCAACGTGGGGCACACGACCCACAGTGGGGCAATTTGATTTTTAAAGGGGGCGATTCGAGAATGAGTTATTAACAGTTAATGGCCTTTTAGGCTTCCCCCACATTTATAGTTCACTTTTTGAATAATAAGAATTATATGTCACGGGGAGGGGCATCAGGATTTTAGAGATGCTTAGGTGGGGCATGGCCAAAAAAAGGTTGGGTACCACTGCTCTAAGTTAAGTTTATATATATATATATAGAGAGAGAGAGTGTGTGTGTGTGTGTGTGTGTGTGTAAAAGAGGAATGGAAAGGGATGGGCAATGAGGGAAGGGGGTGACACAAAATACCTGGAGCTCAGGTACCCTTAGCCACCCCTTAACACCACATAGGTGCGACAGTTTTGGATGACCAGGAGCTGGCTAGGTTGATGGGAGTTTTAGTCCGAAATGACTGGTGGGCACCAAGTTGGCCAAGGCTGCATTAGGGCATCACGTGAAACAGAAACAACCAGCACCTTACCTCAGGCCTCCCAATGCTTCTGCGAACCCGAGCGCCAACTCCTTCTGCCTGTTCCCTGCTCAGCACGGTTTTGACAACTTTCCTCGCTGTTGCAGCCATCCTTGGGGAAACAGCACTGAGTCCTAAAAAGAAACTTCACACCACCTGCCCAAAAGAAGACGTGCATCTTAAATAGCGTCCAGCCACAATCTCTCTCTCTGGGCCGGAAGGCATCAGAGTCAGGCAAAGGTGCGACACGCTCCCTTTAGAAAATGGATTCTATTTTAATCTAGTCAATGGTTTTAAGCTGGCAATCCTATGCACACTTTACCTAAAGAGCTAGCCCTACGGAACTCACCGGGACTTAACCCTGAGGAGGACATGCATAGGATCGCACAGTTTCTTTGCTCCCCTTTGCAAATATGCCCATCAGAAGTTTGCTTCGCTTTCTTAATTCCCTCCCTCCCACAAATAAAGTGACCTTTCTCATGCTCCCGCAGCTGTTCCCTTTCTTACTCTCCACTATCGGCTTCCTACCTTCTCCCCGATCTGAGATGGACAAACCCGGCAGAAAACGCTGCTTGCCGAAGTGCTGGGGAAAAGAGCAAGCTCGGTATGACTCAGCAAATCACTAGACTTTCTTTTTTACAAAAACATAATGTGTAAAGTAAACAAACACGAGGGCCGGATAGAGCAAATACAATAGCGCTAAGGGCGTGGGCGAGTTGCATGAAGCTGCGAGTCGAAGCAGACTCACAGTGCAGGTTTACTCAAGCGCAAACCCCGCTGTGCTCCAACGGGGCTTACTCCCGGTACCGGTGCATCGGATCCCGGCAGCTCCGATGGGACTAAGTGACATTTACTCCCGAGGAACGAGAGAGGCGTTTGGGATTCCGCTCCAAAGGCGGCGCTCGTGTCCACCTGCCACCGCGATCATTATAAAGCGCAAATATTATGCAAAGACAGGATCGCCCTTTCCAAAGGATAGGAACGCCCGGACAAAATGCTCCCGCCCATTTCTAAAATTGGCTTTGCCCCGCCCCTTATTGTCCAAACGAGCAGGGCAACCACCCTATCGGCTTTTAGGAGGCGGGACCTCCTTTTGTAAACAAGGAAAGGCGAGGCGTGTTTGTGATTCCCTCCGTTGCCCGGGAGGCATTTCCGGTCTGGAAATTAATCCCCCCCCTCCTCCCAGTACACAGCTGGGTTGCATAAAGGAGACATGCACCAGAAGAAGGGATCTGGCAGGATCAGATCCAGTCGCACGCAGCACAAACGCAGTCCCAAGGCGTAGATGTGGGGTGGGCAGCAGCAGCGCAGTGGTCACGCATTAGTTTTGCGTGCAGACGTTCCCAGGTGCGACCCCTGGCTTCTCCAGCAAGGGCAGGGAAAAGTCTAGGTGGAGAGCCTTGAGGTGGGGGCCACCAGGATTTTCCTGGCCCCAAACGCAGAGGCACAAGTTCGCATATAATAATAATAATTAATAAATAATATATTATTTATACCCTGCCCATCTGGCTGAGTTTCCCCAGCCACTCTGGGCGGCTCCCAATCAAGTGTTAAAAACAATACAGCATTAAATACTAAAAACTTCCCTAAACAGGGCTGCCTTCAGATGTCTTTTAAAGAGAAGATAGCTGCTTATTTCCTTCACATCTGAAGGGAGGGCGTTCCACAGGGCGGGCGCCACTACCGAGAAGGCCCTCTGCCTGGTTCTCTGTAACCTCACTTCTTGCAATGAGGGAACCGCCAGAAGGCCCTCGGCGCTGGATCTCAGTGTCCGGGCTGAACAATAGGGGTGGAGACACTCCTTCAGGTATCCTTTGCCCTCTGGCAATTGGGGGATGCAGGGCCCCAAAGCAAAATGGTGGGCTGCAAAGCCATTAGTAAAATTCCTGGCAGATGGAATGTTGACAGGCGAAGCTTTTGCTGCAATTGCGTTTTCCAACTAGGGGAGGCTAACCCTGTTTCATGGCTACCTTCCACACGGTTGTTAAAGATGCAAGAGTCCTGCACTCCCAACGGTGTCAACTGTAAACCGTGTAGATGACTCAGATTTAAGAGTAGAAACAACATAGTTGGGGAATATTTTTAGAACATATACATGTACGTATTTATAGATGAAGATGCGTAACTGTAAATGAATTACATTCACGGGCAAAATCAGGTGATAAAAAACAAATAAAAACCCAAAGCTAGGAAAGGAAGTATCTTCCCTGCCCTCGGTGGTTTGGTTGCTGTGTTCTGTTCCTGATATTTTGCACCAAAAGGCAGACAAACCAGTTTTATTATCTCAATAAACAACAGTCAATTCTTGTTGGGTCAGTCAATAACCCGGCTTAACCTACCTTGCTGCCAATAACCATAGTATTTCTTTTTTAAAAATTATTTATGCTTTTCAGATTTATACGTTTCACTAATTTTACAATCATTTTAACATTTCAAAACTTGACTTCCTTCCCCCCTCTTTCTGCCTTTCCTTAAAATTTATTTTCAATATCTCCTGCATGTCCAAATTAACTTTATTTGGCTCATTTATTCATCTACTTTAAATACGTACTACTATGAAACTGCAGGTTATTACAATAATCCTGCCAATGTTCTTATCTGTTTATAATTTTTTCCATAAATATTCAACAAACCATTTCCATTCTTTTATAATAATAAAAAAGTTTGTTATCTCAATTTCTTATTCTTCTGCTAGCTGTCATTACAGTACTATCAAGGATCAGGCCAGGTAGACCTACACATGACATGAACCTTGTAGGGCGGGACAGGGTTTCATGCATTTTTTGTTTGAGTTTATAACTGTATTCTAACAAGACTGCTGCCCTAGGCCTCAGACAAGCTCTGCATGGGTCTGTCAAGGACTATCCCTTTTGGGGTGGGTGTGTCCCCACCCCCCACCCCCCCCCCCGGTCTGCAAATTAGTACAGCTCCAATCTTAATCTGGTTTGATTACTGCAAGCCTACACCCATTACACCCATTTAGGAGTAAGCTCCATTAAACACCAATATTTGCTTCTGAATAGGTATGCCATAACACTGTAAGTTAACAATACGGTGACTTCACCTCTGCAAAGTTTTCACATTTTACATTTGCCATGAGGTGAGATTTTTTTTTTTTTAACATACCGCATACTTACTGTGTAGTAGTATTTGTGCAAAATTACTTTTGTTAAAAGAAAAAACTGTTCCCTGAGCGCCCCAGAGCAGTTTTTCCTCATAACAGTTCCGAAGCGGTATCTGATTTCAAAAGAACCCAACAGAGGAAAACTGCATCCTGGTTGCTTGGAGGAAAGGAAGTGCAACAGGGTACAAGAGGAAATGAGGTCTTTATAACTATGGAAACTCCAAGAACTACAAAATGAGACAGAAGCTGGAAGGAGCTAATTTGTGAATTTAGTGCTTCTCATGAGTGGATTTTTTTTTTCAGTGTCCACATGGTACATTCTTAATCAAAATGCCACCTCGTATTCCCCGCTCCTTCCAATTTGAACCAAATTTACCATTCCTGCTAAGTGTGGGGTCCCCCCCCCAATTAATTTATCAGGTTTTCTGGGAAGCCTGGATCAAACTGGATTAAATGGGGAAATATGGGGTGTCATTTTGATGAGGATGATGTTGTGTGCATGCAACACAAAACATGCATGCCTGAACAGCACCACATCCACAATAAAGAGCTGTGTGGAAGTACCCTAGAAGAAAGATAGAGAAGTAGGAAGGAGAAACAAAAGAAATATCACTGAGTGTAATTAAAAAAAAATTCTCATAATTAATATTTATACCTAGGAAATAGTTCAACCTTCCTTAAAAGCACTACACATGTGAAAATCAAAATGGGGAAGGTGTTGTCTGGTGCATCAGTCCTAACTTCAATTATCTAGATTTCAGGGGGCGGGGGAACTATCACATTTGCACAGATTCATTCCCACAGTGGAAGACAAGCAGTAAAAACTCCAGTTGTGTCGCTTTGTGAAAACGTACCCCAAACAATTCATTGGAAAATATTTTTCTTAGTATAAAAAATGGACGAACTAACAAGAGACAGGTGTGTTATAACTGGGAAAGGGGATGTTGGACAATATGAGTTGTATGCAAATAACATCTGAAAGACATTCCTATATTTGGTAAATATGTAAAAGAAGCAATGAGAAGGATACTTCCTCTTGAGTCCATCATGAGAAGAGGAATATTGTCTCTGTAGGAAGTGCCTTGTTGAGGTAAGCCTCATTTCTTCTTATTTTATTTTATTAGTATTATTATTTTGTACGCCTTATAGCATCACAATGAATTCTATTGCCTTTTAGTATTCCTGTATGCATATGACCTTTTTAAAATAAGTGCAAGTTACGTTTTTGACATTTCCAATGATATTCGCGGATTAAGCCGGGGAGCGTTCTTTAGGTCTGTACAATCTAGGAAATATACCAATGTTTCCTTTTGTTGCTCATTTTAATTTGTTGGGTTTTTTGCTTCCGAATTGCCATCTTGCACATAATTTTGCTTGGGTTATATTTATAAATGTGCTTATTTGAAAGTCAAGATCTAGTGGAATAAATGGGACTATTTACAAGCATAATATTTTAGTCAAAGGAACTAATGTTTCTATGTTGCTGTTTATTTTGAGAGTAGGTAAATAATATGTATCAAGGGCTATGTTGTAGACTCAAATTTGACATTGAATTATTTTAATTGCAAATTCGATTCAGTTTTGCAGTTGGTTAATTGGTGCTCTCTAACTTGGAACATTCCCTGCTCTTTTAGTGACCGTAAAATGGAAACCATGGAGAACAGAATCATTCTAGAAGAGTTGCTGATGAAGAAGTCTCAGCAAAAGAAAAAAATATCTCCAAATAATTACAAAGAACGACTCTTTGTTCTTACGAAAACAAGCCTTTCCTACTATGAATATGACAAGGAGGTGAGAAATAGATTTCTTAGAATGCAGTGTAAGCGGGTAAGAGATTCTTGGGTATTCAACCTCAGGCTAATGCCTTTTCATGTTATGTATTCCTTTTTACGGACATTGGAAACTTTTCCCCTACTTCCTTTTATGTTCTTAGAAAAAAGGAACCAGAAAAGGGTCAATAGAAATTAAGAAAATTCGATGTGCGGAGGAAGTGAATCTAGATGAACCAGCCCCGCCAGAGAGGCAGTATCCCTTCCAGGTAAAACTGTACACAATAAAATATTTTTGGTAGCAAATTCATATTTTGCTGGATGGTGCCTATAGTTTGAATGCCCCTCCAAAAAGAGAAAGCCCTGCCTCAGCATGTTGATGAATATGTACTGGTGGCCCAAGACGTTTCAGCCAAAAGACTTCCTTCAGTGGCTTGGTATACTTGTTCAGATATCTTGAAAAAAATGTCTCCTCCAATAACTCAAATGCAGCAACGGTGAAAGGAAGCCTTTACCAGATGTTTTGGCAAGTGTGTTGTTATGAGTTTAGGGTGGGTAGACTGTATGCCTGAGCCCCCTTTAATTCCTGGGTCCAGCACGGGTTCAAATCCTGGAATAGGCAGGCTAGCTTCCTAGTGAGGTAATGGTCCTCTAAGTATGGGTCAATGAGGTAACAAAAGAAGTGGCTCTGTGCCGGATAACAAATAGGTGGGCCATCCTCCTTCAACTCACTGGTAGGCAAAGGCCAGTGCTGGGAGTTGGAAAAGAGAGAGCTAGAAAGGAGAAGGGGCAGGCAGCAGGCTGGGCAGTTGGGAGAGACAGAGTCATGCCTGATTCCTGTTTGAATCCGAGGAAGAAGAAAGACCTTCTTGGGGTGTTAATGCCGTTAGCCCTTCCATCAGGTTGTATATATGTATAAATAAACCATACATCCTGAAAACACCACAGTCTCCGTTTTGCCTCAGTCCGGGGAAACAGAACCGAAGGCAAGCACCTGGAAGCTTGCACTGCTTGGAAATTGGGATGGCATGCAACAACATAAAGCCACTGCAGAAAGATCTCTCTTTTTGGAGATTTGCTTGGTGGGTGCTTCCTGGTGTGTTTTACGGTTTGAATGCCACCAAATGACTTGTGATTCGGAGCCAAAAAGTTAACATCATCTAGGAGATGAATTATTTGGTTTCCACAGAACTTCTGTATTTGGAACACCCTTTCTAGGGTGGTGGCCTGTCTTGTTCCTACCCAGATAACACTTTGCTGCAAAGTATGCTTTGAAAGAGCTTTTGAGGCATAGGGAGCTGTTTTAAACTCACTTCTGCTGTTATTATGCTAAATGCTGGGTGTAACGCTGCTTTTTGGTGACATGTTTTTGTTTTATTTGAATTTTTGGGCTGATAATATTTTTGCTATTGCGTATTATCCTTTTATTTTTTATTTTTATGCTGATATTGATTCTGGATTCAGACCTAAACCCAGCTCAGACTGATTTCCCAAATATACACATTCAAATCTGTTGTATGCACAGCTTGAATTAATTCATCTACCTCCCCCGCCATGCACTGTAATTTATAACTCTCTGCACATGGCAGTGTCTGAAATTATACTGGTTTCACCCATATCACACATGAAATACACCAGCATCTGGCAGGCCAGCAGTGCATTATTTATTTTAGTGCTCAGTAACTACAAAACTGTTTCCTCCTATGCATAGATTGTGTACAAAGGTGGCCTCCTGTATGTTTTCTCTGCAAATGAAGAGAGCCGGAGCCGATGGCTGGAAGCTTTGCATAAAGGTAACAAGCTGTTTCATCAGACTCTGAGGACTCTTTAACGTTTAACAGCTAACCTGAAAGGATTTCCATTCCAAATACAGTCGTGCCTCAGGTTAAGAACTTAATTCGTTCTGGAGGTCCGTTCTTAACCTGAAACTCTTCTTGATCTGAAGCACCGCTTTAGCTAATGGGGCCTCCTGCTGCCGCCATGTGATTTCTGTTCTCATCCTGAAACAAAGTTCTTAACCCAAGGTACTATTTTGGGGTTAGCAGAGTCTGTAACCTGAAGCATTTGTAACCCGAGGTACCACTGTAGCATAATGAAACTTGGCTGACTTAAGGAAATTGATAGTGCCTTTGTGAGAAAGCTCTTTACAGAACAGCTTGAAGAAGAAAACATGATGGGAGGCTTTCAGAGTTCAGTCAACCAATTGAACTTTTTTTTTTAGCAGATTAGCCGCTTTGAAATTGAAAACTAATTTTTGTAACAATCTAAATGGCATATGTTTTTTATGGTGGCTGGCTAGTCTTTAGTAGGGCCGTAGCTAGTGGATGGTGAGGTGGGACCCTGCCAGGGGCGCAGGTGAGGGGGGCCCTGCAAAATCGGCTGCCAAGACCCTCCACCAGGCGCCCTGTCCAGCCTGCCTACTCTAGAGTCACTTGTCTCTCTCTCTCCTCTCGCACACCCTCCTTCAAGGGTGTCAAGTTGAATAAAATATATGGGGGGGCAGGTAAGTACCACCCTGTATAATCGAGATAGAGCTCATGCTTGCTAATTGAATGGCAATGCCCATTAATGGGGGGGGTGCGGCTTCCTCAAATATTATAGGACGGGGCGAAAGGAACCTCAAGGAGCTGGCTCCCATGCCCTCCTCCCTATTAAAGTGGGTTGCTCCTCACTTTATGCAACTTCACTTATGCACGCAGGGGCCCGGAAACTAACCCGCACATAAGTGGGGAGATGCCTATATACCATCATCTAGGTCAGCCTTCCCCATCTTGGTGACCTCTATCTGTTTCAGCATCCTTCAATCAGAATTCATTACAAAAAAAGAATTCATTACAAGGTGAAGTATGTGAGGAATTGAATGGGTGCAAGGGGCATGGTTGGAGGAGAGGCAGAAAGAAGAGCCAATTTGTCTGTGGCTAGAAGCACAATCTAAGGGACGCGGGTGGCGCTGTGGGTTAAAACACAGAGCCTAGGACTTGCCGATCAGAAGGTCGGCGGTTTGAATCCCCGTGACGGGATGAGCTCCTGTTGTTTGGTCCCTGCTCCTGCCAACCTAGCAGTTTGAAAGCACGTCAAAGTGCAAAGAGATAAATAGGTACCGCTCAGGCGGGAAGGTAAACGCCGTTTCCGTGCGCTGCTCTGGTTCGCCAGAAGTGGCTTAGTCATGCTGGCCACATGACCTGGAAGCTGTACGCCTGCTCCCTCGGGCCAATAAAGCGAGATGAGTGCTGCAACCCCAGAGTTGTCCGCGACTGGACCTAATGGTCAGGGGTCCCTTCACCCTTTACCTTTAGGGTCACAATCTGGATGGTTCTGCCAGGGGCGCAAGATCACCTAGCTACGGCTGTGTTTTTTAGCACGCATAGTGTATATGCCTGCACCACAAGTTCAACGTCAGTGCTTCTTTGACATTTTGAGGGCTGATGGACACACACACAGCTCCCCTGTTCATTCCAGTGGAAGCAGAAAGCTTCATAAGGAAGGGCCAGAGCATCTGCTTTGCATTCGGACAGCCCCAGGATTTTCTGGTAGGGCTGGGGGTATCCCCTGCCTAAGCCCTTGCAGAACTACTTTGAGTGTAGGTAGCACTAAGCCCGATGGATCGATGTTCTGACTTGGTATTTATTCATGTGATTTATACCCTGCTCTTCCTCCCAAAGGAGCCCAGGGCACCAAACAACAAATGACGAAACGTCTTTACAAACACCTTTGAAACAATTCAAATACAGATGCAGGCTGGGAAAGATCTCAGTTTAAAAGGCTTGTTGGAAGGCACACACACACACACACACACACACACGTGTAAATAAGGCATTTCCCATGTGTGCAAAACTGCCCCCTTCATGAAAGAGAATGAAGAAAGCCAGCTCAGGTTGAAGTTCAGTATGAGCAATAAAAAAAGCAAGAAGTCGGATTTTATCTGTTGCTTTTACCTTTGCTTTTGTGTCTTATTTTATGTTTATGATGTACATTACCTTGTAATTAAGGTGATGTAAAGTGGTATATAAATGCTTTAAAGCAACAGAGGACTCGGGAGCTCTGAACCAGAGGCTAAAGCTACAATGCCGTATCTGCTGACCTGGGAATAAGTCCCATTGAAGCTTCCTTTTGAGCAGAACGTATATAGAAGTGCAGTGTCAACCATTTCTAAACTGTTAGTACAGTTAACACTGCACTGATACACCCAGTTAAGGCTGGTCCGCAATATTGTGCAGCCTGAGCCGAAAACCAAAATGGAGTCCCTCCTGTTCCATGAGCAAAAGTTGACCGGACCCCTGGCTGCATCTTACTTCAAGACTTGCAGCAGGACAATATTTTCCACTGTTTCTGAGTGTAGCAACCTAGGAGGGGCAGGCTAGGCCCTGGGGCAACCACAGCCCTATCCACTATGACCTCGCCAGTGGTTTCCATCCCTGAACATTTGCTTGCTGAGGCTGTTGCCTCATCTGCCTAATGGCAGGGCCAGCCCTGACCTCAGTCCATATTCTCAGCATTCGCACCTTGTCCATGTGAATTGGCCCTACATCTGAACTATTAGTCTATATGAGGTTATTGTTTTATAGCAGAAAACATTTTCAGTCTCTTCCTCTCTCTCCCCTGCCACCCCCACCTCCTCTGTTTTCTATGCTTTCCAGAGATTCTGGGCAATACAGATTTACTAAACAAGTACCACAGCAGATTCTATTCCAACGGGAAGTTCCTGTGCTGCAATCAAACCTGCAAAGCGGCTCCTGGATGCATAATCTGGGGAAAGTGTAATGTGTTGCTTCATCTCTTTCTATCATTCATACAATGGAAATTTGAGGCTTTTTGTGCCCTTTCCAATATTATTTATTTTATTTTTATTTTCTTAGGCATTTGCATTTCTTTCTTTCTTTTTACAAACTGCCCTTTCATATAAAATATCACAAGGCAGTATACAGACCAAAACCACACTTTTACAATGAAAGCAACAAAGATGTCAGTAACAGTAAGCCCATGTGAAGAGTGACTGACTGTTAAAGCACTCTGGGAATTGTAGTTCTTGGAGTGGAATAGAGGTTTCCTTAACAGCCCTCAGCATCCTTAGCGAACCACAGCTCCAAGAATTCTTTGAGGGAAACCACCATAACTGTTTAAAGCATTGTCCTAGTGATTTAAATGCATGGTGTGAGTAATTATTATGGGCGACATTCAACTCAGTTTAGCCCACTGAAATTATTATGATCTATTATTTATTCAATTTATATACCGCCCTTTATTCAAAGATCCCAGGACTGTGTACAACATTATAAACATAATTGACATAACACAATAATAAGAAACAATAAAACAGTCACAGGGGAAAAAAACCATAACAGTCCCAGTGGTACCAGGGAGCCACCACAGGAAAGGTCCTTTCTTGTGTTGCCACTCTCCAAACCTCTCAGGGGGAGGGGACACAGAGAAGGGCCTTCTTGGTAGTGGCACCCACCCTGTGGAACGCCCTCCCATCAGTTGTCAAGGAAATAAACAACTACCTGACTTTTAGAAGACATCTGAAGGCAGCCCTGTTTAGGGAGTTTTTTAATGTTTGATGTTTTATTGTGCTTTTAATTCTGTTGGGAGCCACCCAGAATGGCTGGGGAAACCCAGCCAGATGGGCGGGGTATAAATAAATTACTAATAATAATAATAATAATAATAATAATAATATGACAAGTGCAGGGTCTAGGTCATTTTGTATGGGGAGAGGTGGTCCTTAAGGTATTGCGGTCCTGAGCCTTTTAGTATGACTAAGTTAGCGCCATTAATTTCAGTAGGTCTGCTCTGAGTATAACTTGGTTAAATACTGTACCGCCCTCTGTTTCTGGGGTGTATAATTTCAGATTGCAGGTAGGGGTTTACATGATTGGATGCTCCTGCTCCATCCATTCATTCATTCAATCAATCAATCAATCAATCAAATCTGTCCATATAGAAAACTGGCATATTGGAGGAGAGCGGTCCAGCCTAGCTTTTCCCCTACCACAGGCACCCCCAAACTTGGCCCTCCAGCTGTTTTGGGACTACAACGCCCATCATCGCTAGCTAGCAGGACCAGTGGTCAGGGATGATGGGAACTGTAGTCCCAAAACAGCTGGAGGGCCAAGTTTGGGGGGTGCCTGCCCTACCATATGTGCTTATTTGAAGAAGAGCAACTCGCTTGCAGATGAAAGTAGTACTGCTCAGACTGAGCCTTTCCCAACAGTGAGGGGGAACCACAGCAAATTTGCTGGAAGAGAAATAACCAATGCCCTGTTGTTTTTACAAAGCTGCAAATGTCAGTGAGCTGAAGTATTTCCAAAACAAACTATCTACATGCAAATATTGCTCTCCGTCCGAGTTCTTGGCACAAAACATCACTGTTTTGTTTGCCAGTTAATTTGTACAGTTAGATGAGGAGGAAGAAACCCTTCCCAACCACCCTTTAGACTCTGAGGTTTTCAGCACAATGCAGTTAAGTACTGCCTTTTTCAAACAGTTCAGGCTTTTAAAGAAGCATGTTTATACCATGCTTGCTTAGAATGTAGGAATATAAATGGATTAGACCAAGGTCCACATTGTAACCCCACAGTCTGTTTTCAACCAGATTTTGCTCTCAAAAGGTAATTAATGAGGGAACGATGCAGCCCACTCTGGGTTAGTCCATTACTCCTATGGTAATAAACAAAGCTGCCTGATAAGAGTTTTCCAAAGTTTGCTTGTCAGTGGAGATTCAGGGCATTAATTTCACCCAGCCTTTCCCCCCTTAATTCTTGATATAGATTACATTCTTCACAGTGCAAGCAGTGCAGTGAAACCGCTTCCACCGGTACCAGGAGCACAGGTGAATAAAGCTTTGCCACAGTGAATATGGATTGTTTATACTCTAGGTATGCAGCTTCCATTAGGAGGAACAATGTGGGATTGTTTGAAAGAAGAGGGGCCCTTGCCTCATCTTTCTCCTGGAACAGATGGAAAGAGTAGACTTTATAAATCACATAAACGGTGAAGGATATTCATGTAGGGTCGTCTTCTCAAAACTTGTAAGGGAGTGGACCAAGCTATTCAGAACACACCAGGAATAGGTACTAGAGAATTTTATTCCAGAATTATTACATTAAAGAAGATCAAAGGTTATAGCAGAATGTTAACATGCTTACACATACAAAGACATTTCCCAAAATGGGACTCCGCACAAGAATCAGATTATTAAGAGATGGCCATGAACATATGATTTTATAACCCTGCAGCTATCTATGCCAAGCCCCACAAAGTGTCATTTGTGATATCAAGCTATTTAGCATCTCTATTGGCCAAACACAGATAAGACCACAGATAAGACCCCATTAAATCAGTTTAGCTGGCATACGCACTGACTCTGCTAATAATCTTGAAACTGAGTCAACTTACTCAGTTTTCATGAGCCAGCACCCTAGCTTAAATGTCTGGTGAGACCCCACTTCCATTCTGGGCATCTAAAATAGTTCACCCGCCCCTAAGTCCAGGCCAAAACATACAATCGTAGATTATATCTGTGCCAACTCTATACATAGACAGGATTTTCACTGGGTTTGACCATTTCAAGGCTAATTCTGTACTTTCAGGATTTAATATCACCTCAGTAGTTTTCCACTGAGAATACCCATGTCCTTTCACTTTCACACACATTGTCAAGCATTCCAGCTTTCACTAGCACTAGATCTAAGGGCTTTTCAGGAAACATCTGGTGGCACTTCACTTTTTCCAGCTTTCACCAGCACTTGATCTTAGGGCTTTCCCCCTTTCAGTTCCCCAACCTCCTCCTGGTCATCTGGCCCAGCTCTCATGTTATCTCCTTGGCAGCTTGTGATTTAGCACTTTTTGCAAGGAGATTCTAAGCAGCTTAAAGCAATTCTCTGATCTATGATGTATAATGTATAATGTATAGCCTGTTTATATGCAATCAGTAGCCTCACAACAACCATAGGTTTGTTGTTTCTGATGGGATTTCCATAAAGAAATGCAGTGAACTGGCAATCACCTAAACCTAATCAGAAGGGTGTACCTTTCACAGGTGGCGCTGTGGGTTAAACCACAGAGCCTAGGACTTGCTGATCAGAAGGTCAGCGGTTCGAATCCCCGTGACGGGGTGAGCTCCCGTTGTTCGGTCCCAGCTCCTGCCCACCTAGCAGTTCGAAAGCACGTCAAAGTGCAAGTAGATAAATAGGTACCGCTCCGGCGGGAAGGTAAACGGTGTTTCTGTGTGCTGCTCTGGTTTGCCAGAAGCAGCTTAGTCATGCTGGCCACATGACCCGGAAGCTGTACGCCGGCTCCCTCGGCCAATAAAGCGAGTTGAGCGCGCAACCCCAGAGTCGGCCACGACTGGACCTAATGGTCAGGGGTCCCTTTACCTTTACCTACCTTTCGCACTGGATCCCCCTGACAATGGTAGTCATTCATAGGCCATCTCTTCTGCAAACCCAAGTGGTAGCTTTTTTGCTTAGGGTTGGTTGAGCAAGCACAGGATAATTCACTTCTGCTCCAGACTGTACAGGCAAATCAGCAAACAGGATGACCCAGGATACCATTTTAATAGTTGTTTGTGACTCTCGACCCCTAGCACTCTCTTTGCATATACATGGAACATTCATGATAACTTTGTCCCATATTGTTCAGAAATGGGCAGCATTTTTACTCCCAATGGCCCACTCCCAAGCTGTGGGCAGACACAGGAGTGGGGGAGGGTGCTGTAGGTCAGCGATTAGTTCATAGCTCATTGGCATCTTATAATTGTACAAATTACAGATACTGATTTTTCTGTTCATGTTGATAAAGGACCTTCCTTAGCCACAGTTTAAGGATTAATGAGATTACACTTGTAAAGTACACTGGACACTTGAAAAGCGCTGTGTAATTTGTTGTTGTTTTTGAAACTGCAATGATTTCTTTCTCTAAATTCTCTGTGTGGCATATCTTATGTTACCGGCTTTCAGAACAACGAGTACGACCATCAGCCTCCAGGTCAAACACTTGACAAGTCATTTCTGAAAGAAGCAGTAGCTATTTATAATTATGAGCCAAAAGGAAACTCTGATGTTCCTCTTGTGAGAAACAGTAAATATTATGTTATGAACGATGAGGCTCCTGATTGGTGGCTCGTGAAGGATTTGGACGGGTAAGTTTCCTCTGTGTTCTTTAGAGAGATTTCCTTATTACTGAGGTATAGTTTTCATATTCTGTTAGCCAATGTACTCAGAAGAATTCTAATGAAGAATTACCCCAGTTTAACAAACAACCCCACTGTGTTATTTTGTTTAAAGCTTGTCTAATGATCAATTCGGATGGTGCATGAACTGAGTATGTTTCCATGGATGCTTGATGGTCTTGGACTAGGTTCAAATCTTAGGCTAGAAGCTCCATGAGACCTTGGTTCATTCAAAGTCCTCCTCAGCTAATCCACCTCACAGGGTTTCTGTGAGGATAAAATGAAGAGAAACCATATGTATGCTGTATGCAGAGGTTAGCTGGCTGTACATGCTTTGACTTGTGCAGTCCTATCAGCCAGTGGAGTAATCTCCTGTTATGCCAGAGTTTACATTGATGTTGTCCCAGCAGCAGTGTGAAAAGCCCAATCATGATAAAGAGGTAATAAACCAATTATGATACCCACTTCCACAAAGACACCGTGACTATCCACCAACCACATTGCTGCCCCTGATCCCACATGGATGGAAGGCACCAATTATCATGCAGTACCAGCAGAAACACCATGGCAACTTCATGTCACCTGGTCTCTATTTGTTTCGTTTTATTGCTCATCGTCTTCCTTCCAAGTGCTTCATGTAGGTTTTAAAAAATAACCTTTTTTTTGGTATTTTTCATTTGCAGAAATGAGGGCTTTGCACCCCGCGTCTATTTGAAGGAGGTATCCCAGGCCACTGAAAAACCAGGGTAAATCACCATCCATTTTGACTTCCATATTCTGTGCTGAATATATCAAAGAGAGAATCCATATATTTATTCTGCGAAATCAGGATCAGATTCAGTGAGGAACATAGGAAACAGCCTTATTCTGAGTCAGATTGTGGTCTTTCTGGCTCACTATCGCCTAGGTGTAGATTAATATCAGTGTTGCAGTTCTCCTGACCACCGGGGGAATAAATGGAGAACTCATTGTGCCTTTTTTGCATTTGCAGAAGAAGCGTCGATACAGCTAAAGCGTCATCAACTGAAGAGGAGGAAAGCATTGCTAATAATGAGTGAGGCGGAAATTGGGTGTGGTTGACCATTGGGGTGGCGGTGCACAATGCATTAGTTTAAGTATTCAGTGCAGGAAGACCTTTACTACAGGATAGGCAAGCAGAGATATAAATGCCCTGTCCTGATGGCACTGATATACACAGCACTACTGCTACTGCCAGCTTCCCCATGCTTCTGTCTGTGCAGAGACTACGACACACTGTCATCATTACTGTTTATTGTATCTGCATCCCACTCTTCCTCCAAGTGTTCCAAATCTCCCATTACACCCCCACCCCAGACCAGCCACAATCTTTTTGAGTGGTGCTAGACAAGCTGTCATTTTTCCATCTCATCTGAACATTTTCAACATGTAGATAGCAATACGCTGTTGTAAGGACTGCTGAGGCACTTTTCAGCAATTAGGAAGAAGTCTATTGTAAGGATATATGAGATAATGTTCGTGAAGCATTTGGGGTGGGGGGAAGCAATGTATACATATATTCTCTGTGTGGTGTGTGTGTGTGTGTGTGTGTGTGTGTGTGTGGTGTGGTACCAGCATTAAATAAATGTGGCAGGAATCATCCACGCTGCAGTAGTAATTGAAAATTCATTTTCAAGGGAGTTTAAGCCTTTAAAGGTTTCACAGAAGTATTTACTTAGAAACTGCATGTGGCAGCCGCTGCTTAGTAAATATGTGAGGGTTTTAAAAGTGAGTTTCAGAACTTTTTAACCTGTCCCATGGGATGCTTAACAACATGAACATTTTCTTTAAGTGATTTATCAGATAACCTTATTCCAAAATCATGGCATGCTCATTGCGCGAGAGAGATTCTTCAATCCTCATTCAAATAATGAAAGTGTTACTCCATAATAATGCAATTACAGAATAATTGTGTGCTGTGAATGTAATATGTTAGCAATTTCTTTTGTTGCAGTTGGTATGCTGGTAAACTCTCAAGGGCCCAGGCAGAACAACTGCTGCAGCAGAAGGTAGTGTTTTAAAATTCCTACACATTTATTAGGTTTATGCATTGCCTTTAGCTGCAAGCATTCACCTCCTTCCTTTGTAATAGTGCAGGCTGGCAGTGTCAGAGAATTCAGTCGGAAACGGAAGTGGAAATTGCCGTTCTTCACATTTTTATCCCAGATCTGGAATGAAAATCAATCCAGTGAATACGCTTGGTATTCACTCACAACGTGTGTGTGTGTGTGTGTGTGTGTGTGTGTATATATATATATATATATATATATATTTGCTTTCGTAGATTTTCACGGGTACAGGAATGCAGGTTTTGGTGTCCTCGGGTGTCTTCCCGTGTAAAAGTTGGGGTGTCTAGGCGACGTTTCGACGAGGTCTCACTCGTCATCTTCAGGCTGGTGCTTTCGGCTTCTTGTTACTGGAACAGAGCAGGATCTCAGTGTTTGAGTTCCTATAAATACTGTTGAGGGGGTGTGGTGTATAGCCTCCAATGTTCTGGGCAGAGAGGAAGTTCCCAGGCTAGTGTGCCTTTTCTTCTTTTGTTCCTTAATTACTTGAGGGATATCTTGAGTGATTTCTTGAGTGATATCCTGAGTACCACTTAGGTGGGTCATTAGGTGTGGATTAGTTGCTAAAGCCTTCGTGTCTTGACCTCTTGAACTTTGTGAAGAGTTTTTCTGAGAAGATGGCTGTATTGCATTTAGTTGTGCTCTGGCTTGGCTTCGTGTATAGGGGCGAGCTGTGGTTTTGTGTCCTGTGCCAGCCAGATCTGTGTAGGGATTGCAGGGGGGTGCAGCATCCGGAGGTGCCACCATGGTTTGGCTACTGGATGGTGTCTGTAATTTATCTGTGGAGAGGGTCTGGGTTTGGGTCTGGTGTGGTTGATTGGTGATGGCGTTCTGTGTGCCTCTGGATCTGGTGTCGGTTTTTGTGGGGAGGGCTAATTTCCAGATGTCTGGCAGGCGGGATGTGTCGTCACGCTTGTTCATGTTGTGAGGGTGTTTCTCTATCTCGATGGCTTCCATGATTATTCTCTTGTGGTGATGTTCCATGTTAGAGAGCAATTTGGAATCTGCAAAATTAATTTCGTGTCCTGTTTCTTTCATGTGTTGGAAAAGAGAGGAAGTTTTTTCTTCTTTTTTGACGGCATTCTTGTGTTCTGCGATACGTGCATTTATTCGTCTGTTTGTTTGTCCAATGTACGTGGCTGGGCAGACTTTGCAGGGTATTTCATAGACCCCTTGGTTTTCCAACTGGATTTTATCCTTGGGGTTTCTGAGGATATTGGCTATTTTTTGGTTGGTGCAAAAGGCTGTTTTGATATTGTGTTTATGGAGGATTTTGCTAATTTTATCTGTAGTGCCCTTGATATAAGGAAGGAGGGCCATGCCATTGTTTTCTTCTGTGTCTTGGTTTTTGGGGGGTGTTTCTTTTTGCATTAGCTTCGTAACCCTGTTTTGCTGGTATCCATTGGCGATTAACACATTGGAGAGATTCTGTAACTCAGTTGTCAAGTGGTCTTTGTCAGCCAGGCGTTTGGTTCTGGAGATGAGAGTCTTGGCTACGGAGTTTATTTGTGCAGGGTGGTGGTGTGATTGTGCATGTAAGTAGCGGTTGGTGTGTGTTTTTTTCCGGTAGATAGTGTGTCCTAGGGAGCCATCAGGTTTTTTGTAGATTAGGACGTCAAGGAAGGGAAGTTGGTTGTTGGCTTCTATTTCCATAGTGAATTGTATTTTGGGGTGTAGGCTGTTGAGATGTGTGAGGAAGCTATCTAGTTTTTCCTTCCCGTGTGGCCAAATTACAAAGGTGTCGTCAACATATCTGAGCCAAAGTTTGGGTTTGTGTTCTGACTTGTCTAAAGCATTGGTTTCAAAGTGTTCCATGTACAGGTTTGCGATGACCGGTGAGAGTGGTGATCCCATAGGTGCTCCTTCTATCTGTTTGTATCTTTGTCCATTGTGGATGAAGTACGTGTTGGTTAGGCAGTGGTTGGTAAGGTCCAGGATGTATTCGGGGGGATTGTATTTGTTTTGAATGGCTGTCAAGGCTTCATTAATGGGCACTTGTGTGAAGAGAGATACAACATCGAAGCTCACAAGTAGGTCATTGGGATGTAGGTTTTGCTTCTTTATTGTTTCTATGAACTGGAAGGAGTTTGTAACGTGTGAAGGGATGGATTCTGCATAGGGCTGAAGTTGCTTAGCGAGAAATTTAGCGAGATTTTGTAGAGGTGAGCCTATGGAGCTGACTATTGGTCTGAGTGGTGTTCCTTCTTTGTGTATCTTGGGGAGGCCGTAGAGTTTGGGGCATCTGGATGATTTTTCTCTGGGGATGATTCTTAGCTGGATTTCTTCACTGATAGGAGAGGCTTTTATTTTGGATTTGGTGGTTTTTTTCCAGATAGGTGGTGGGATCTGTTTTTATAGGTTGGTAGGTAGGGTCTTGGAGTAGATTTGATAGTTTTGCTTGGTAGTCCGATGTGTTCATCACAACAGTGGCATTACCTTTGTCTGCTGGGAGAATGATTATGTTGTTGTCTTTCCTCAGGTTGGTGAGTGCTTTCTGTTCTTCTTTGTGTAAATTGCTTCTGGGTGGTTTGCTGGAGCAGAGGATGTTGGTGACTTCAAGTCTGATTTTATTGGCTTCATCTGGGTTGATTTTGGTTAGGCTAGCTTCGACTCCGCATATGATGTTTTCCGTGGGGATGCGTCTCGGGGCGACTGCAAAGTTGAAACCTTTGGAGAGTACTTTGGTTTCAGTTGAGGTGAGGATCCTGTCTGATATGTTATGTACTGTTTGTTTCATGGGTTGTTGTGGAGGGTGGCTGGGCTTCTGGCGTTTCTCTAGTTTGTGGAGTTTGTTGGTGTGTGTGTCTGTCTTATGTGAGGTCTCAGTTTCAGCTCTCCAGACGGCTAGTTGTTTGCATTTGTCCCAGAGTGCAGGGTGGATTTTGTTACAGAGTTTGAGGTGAAGAGTGAGCAGATCTTTGTTGGTTTGGTTTAGTAGGTATCTTTTCTTATGTAGTTCGTTTCTGATTAGGGATAGTTCAGTTCGTTTCAGGATCCTTTCGGTAGCTGGGGTTTTAGAGTGGAATTTAAGTTGGAAGCATGTGGGAATTAAGTTGTTGTCTCGGCAGTTGCGTAGGAACAAGAGATCACATAAGATGGTGGCTCTTCGGATTTCTAGTTTCTCGTAGGTTCTTGTCAGCTGGAAGGTTTCCTCCCCGTAGAGGTGAGATATTTGCTTTCGTAGATTTTCACGGGTACAGGAATGCAGGTTTTGGTGTCCTCGGGTGTCTTCCCGTGTAAAAGTTGGGGTGTCTAGGCGACGTTTCGACGAGGTCTCACTCGTCATCTTCAGGCTGGTGCTTTCGGCTTCTTGTTACTGGAACAGAGCAGGATCTCAGTGTTTGAGTTCCTATAAATACTGTTGAGGGGGTGTGGTGTATAGCCTCCAATGTTCTGGGCAGAGAGGAAGTTCCCAGGCTAGTGTGCCTTTTCTTCTTTTGTTCCTTAATTACTTGAGGGATATCTTGAGTGATTTCTTGAGTGATATCCTGAGTACCACTTAGGTGGGTCATTAGGTGTGGATTAGTTGCTAAAGCCTTCGTGTCTTGACCTCTTGAACTTTGTGAAGAGTTTTTCTGAGAAGATGGCTGTATTGCATTTAGTTGTGCTCTGGCTTGGCTTCGTGTATAGGGGCGAGCTGTGGTTTTGTGTCCTGTGCCAGCCAGATCTGTGTAGGGATTGCAGGGTTGTTGGTGTGTGTGTCTGTCTTATGTGAGGTCTCAGTTTCAGCTCTCCAGACGGCTAGTTGTTTGCATTTGTCCCAGAGTGAGACCTCGTCGAAACGTCGCCTAGACACCCCAACTTTTACACGGGAAGACACCCGAGGACACCAAAACCTGCATTCCTGTACCCGTGAAAATCTACGAAAGCAAATATCTCACCTCTACGGGGAGGAAACCTTCCAGCTGACAAGAACCTACGAGAAACTAGAAATCCGAAGAGCCACCATCTTATGTGATCTCTTGTTCCTACGCAACTGCCGAGACAACAACTTAATTCCCACATGCTTCCAACTTAAATTCCACTCTAAAACCCCAGCTACCGAAAGGATCCTGAAACGAACTGAACTATCCCTAATCAGAAACGAACTACATAAGAAAAGATACCTACTAAACCAAACCAACAAAGATCTGCTCACTCTTCACCTCAAACTCTGTAACAAAATCCACCCTGCACTCTGGGACAAATGCAAACAACTAGCCGTCTGGAGAGCTGAAACTGAGACCTCACATAAGACAGACACACACACCAACAAACTCCACAAACTAGAGAAACGCCAGAAGCCCAGCCACCCTCCACAACAACCCATGAAACAAACAGTACATAACATATCAGACAGGATCCTCACCTCAACTGAAACCAAAGTACTCTCCAAAGGTTTCAACTTTGCAGTCGCCCCGAGACGCATCCCCACGGAAAACATCATATGCGGAGTCGAAGCTAGCCTAACCAAAATCAACCCAGATGAAGCCAATAAAATCAGACTTGAAGTCACCAACATCCTCTGCTCCAGCAAACCACCCAGAAGCAATTTACACAAAGAAGCACAGAAAGCACTCACCAACCTGAGGAAAGACAACAACATAATCATTCTCCCAGCAGACAAGGTAATGCCACTGTTGTGATGAACACATCGGACTACCAAGCAAAACTAGTCAAATCTACTCCAAGCCGCAACCTACCAACCCTATAAAAACAGATCCACGCAAACCTATCTAAAAAAACCACCAAATTCCCAAACATAAAAAGCCTCTCCTATCGGTGAAGAAATCCAGCTAAGATTCATCCCCAGAGAGAAAAAATCATCAGATGCCCCAAAACTACACAATGCATTAGTTTAAGTATTCAGTGCAGGAAGACCTTTACTACAGGATAGGCAAGCAGAGATATAAATGCCCTGTCCTGATGGCACTGATATACACAGCACTACTGCTACTGCCAGCTTCCCCATGCTTCTGTCTGTGCAGAGACTACGACACACTGTCATCATTACTGTTTATTGTATCTGCATCCCACTCTTCCTCCAAGTGTTCCAAATCTCCCATTACACCCCACCCCAGACCAGCCACGATCTTTTTGAGTGGTGCTAGACAAGCTGTCATTTTTCCATCTCATTCTGAAACATTTTCAAACATGTAGAATAGGCAAACGCTGTTGTAAGGACTGCTGAGGCATTCTTCAGCAATTAGGAAGAAGTCTATTGTAAGGATATATTGAGATAATGTTCGTGAAGCATTTGGGGTGGGGGAAGCAATGTAAATTACATATATTCCTCTGTGTGGTGTGTGTGTGTGTGTGTGTGGTGTGTGTGTGTGTGGTGTGGTACCAGCATTAAATAAAATGTGGCAGGAAATCATCCACGCTGCAGTAGTAATTGAAAATTCATTTTCAAGGGAGTTTAAGCCTTTAAAGGTTTCACAGAAGTATTTACTTAGAAACTGCATGTGGCAGCCGCTGCTTAGTAAATATGTGAGGGTTTTAAAAGTGAGTTTCAAGAACTTTTTAACCTGTCCCATGGGATGCTTAACAACATGAACATTTTTCTTTAAGTGATTTATCAGAATAACCTTATTCCAAATCATGGCATGCTCACTGCGCGAGAGAGATTCTTCAATCCTCATTCAAATAATGAAAGTGTTACTCCATAATAATGCAATTACAGAATAATTGTGTGCTGTGAATGTAATATGTTAGCAATTTCTTTTGTTGCAGTTGGTATGCTGGTAAACTCTCAAGGGCCCAGGCAGAACAACTGCTGCAGCAGAAGGTAGTGTTTTAAAATTCCTACACATTTATTAGGTTTATGCATTGCCTTTAGCTGCAAGCATTCACCTCCTTCCTTTGTAATAGTGCAGGCTGGCAGTGTCAGAGAATTCAGTCGGAAACGGAAGTGGAAATTGCCGTTCTTCACATTTTTATCCCAGATCTGGAATGAAAATCAATCCAGTGAATACGCTTGGTATTCACTCACAACGTGTGTGTGTGTGTGTGTGTGTGTGTGTGTATGTGTATATATATATATATATATATATATGTATATGTATATATGTATATATATGTATATATATGGCCTACAACCAATACGCCATTAATGACTTTCTTTATACAGAGTTTCAACATTTCCTTTACATCAAAGTGAATGGTATGGAAACAATTATGTCATTGTTTACATTAAATCCATAGCATATGAAAATAATGATTTATATTATGTTAAATAGCATACAGTGAGATGGATAATGTGGTATTTGGCAGAAACAGAACTTCAGCAGAACCAAAAGTTGAGGTTGGAGCCGAAACTGCTGCTGTTGTTGTTATATATTTTATACCCCACCTTTTCCCCTGATGATACTCAAGGCAGCTAGTGAGGGCCAAACTATACACACCCCATTTGTTGTGCAGCTTCACACTGCATAGCTAATTCTTCTGACAGCAGATGCAGAGAGGCCAGGCTGGATCAGGCTGTGCTCCCAATCAGAACCCCCATCACTGCCACACACCTGCCTGTTCACAATGAGAGTAAAACAAGTCTACTTAATGGCGCTGACACTCCTGGAATTAGAAAACTGTAGTGGAAGAGATGCCAACTCAAAATATTCATTTAGTGTTAACTTTAAAATTTGAGGGCATCAAGAGGGAGTTGAACACTCATGAGACAAGCAGCTGACTACCCTCCTGCCTCTCCATTAATGGACCCCTGCGAATATCTGAAGAAAATGAACTCTTCCACATAAACATTATAATTAGATCACAAACTGAATTCAGAGGAAATGTGTTTAGGATGGGCGGCTACGCTATTATTTCTCTTTCAGAGGGCTAAGATCTTTCCAGCCCTCCTCCCAATTAACGTCTACCATTCTGTGCCTACCCCCCTCAATATTTTTTTTCTGGTGCAAATTAAGGAGTCATGGGACTCAGCTATACAGCTGCAAATAAAACGCTTTAAGTGTGTTTTAAGTGCAAAATACAATGTGACACTAGATGGCGATGGTGAGCCTAATGGAAAATTCAGCGTATTTTTAAAAACGCTTTAAAAAAAGCATTTTCAGAACTTTTTAAAAATATGTGTAGGGTGAACAATGTACATAAGCATGTCATCTGCCTCTCAGTGTGTTGGTGATGTCCATCCTTGCATACGGTTTGCTTGCTCTGACCCTTGGTGATTGGCAAGGAGCTATACAAAAGCATAGTTTGATGCACTTTTAGAACATCTCTAATACAGCCGTACCTTGGTTCTCGAACGTCATCCGTTCCGGAAGTCTGTTCAACTCCTGAAACGTTCAAAAACCAAGGCGCAGCTTCCGGTTGGCTGCAGGAGCTTCCTGCACACAAGCGGAAGCCCCGTCAGACATTCAGCTTCCGAAAAACGTTCAAAAACTGGAACACTTACTTTCGGGTTTTTGCGTTCGGGAGCCAAAACGTACGAGTACCAAGGCATATGAGAACCAAGGTACGAGTGTATATCAATGAAACAGGCCTCACATTTTATGAAAAACTAACAGAGCATCCATCCTCTCAACTACTACAAAGGTTCTCTTCTGGTTTTTATTAAAAGGGGAAGGATGGGGCTTACATGGTTCGTAATTCCAGCCATGCAGGGAAATACACTGTATCTGTACTCAGCATGACTTGCAGGTAAGTAGGCAAGGTATACATAATATACCCCTCCAATATAATGTGTACCTGATTTAATGTATTGGTCTTCCCTCAAATGTGAACCGAGCTGTACAGTTGCTTTTTCTGGATTCAGATTGCATCTGTGTTCATATATAATTCAAATTAAAGTGTCCCTATTCTGAAGGCTGGTTTAAGTGCTATGTGCTTGTCTATATTAAAGCTCATGGGGAAATGGGCAGAGAGAGTGGAAAGTGGAGAGAGAAATTAGGAGGTATAATAGGAACTGACGGCTTGTGGCAAATAAGTTAAAAGTTACACACATGAAAGGAGAAGAAATTACAGGAGATGAGCAGAAACACTTGGAGACACAGAAGGAATGGGGAAATATAAAACAGATGGCGCTCTCTGCTTAGAGCCTTTGGATCAGCAAATTCTGCTAAAAGAAAAGAGAGGCTGAAGACTCAGCTATACAGCTGCAAATAGAACATTTAAAGTGTGTTTTAAGTGTATTATACAAATGTGACACTAGATGGCGATGGTGAGCTAATGGCAAATTCAATATATATTTTTAAACTTTTTTTTAAAAAAAAGTATTCTCACAGGGTTTTTTTATATATGTCTAGATTCAGCCCAGGTCATGATACCTCCAGAACCAATGTCTAAACTTGAGGAAAGCTACAGAACTCTGCCACAAGGGAATTGCTGTAGCAAATAATTTAGCTGTTACCAAAGGGATTAGTTATCAATAGTGAATGATGTCTGTAACAGCCAGATGATTATGTCTAGCTCCATCTCTGTCTACCATCCCTTTGTGACTGGTGGGCCTCAATAATGTTTAGCCCTCCCAAGTGGGCTTTGAAAACCCCCTCCTCTAAGAGATTCCTCTCGTTTTCCTTATGCTAGCTGGAATGGTTTGTCTTCATTTTTTCCAGAGATAAAAAAGGAATCGTTAAACACTACCATGTCAATGTAAACAACAAAAAACAGTTTTACCTGGCTGAGAATTACTGTTTTGATTCAGTTCCTGAGCTTATTCATTATCATCAGCACAATTCAGCAGGTAAATCGCTTCATCATTTCATGATTTGCATTGTGTTCATGAATGTCAATTTCCCTATTGTGTCTGTTTGCTTTTAGTACAATCCTACCCATGTCTACTCTGTAGTAAGTTTCATTGTGTTCAATGGGTCTTACTCCCTACTAGGTGTATTTGTGATTGTAGTCTAAGAGTGTGAGCTGGGAATTCCCGATCTTCATCTTACGTCATTCTCTGACCAGCTAGGTAGACTTATGCGCAAACCGCTCTCTCTTAGCCTCAGTTTCCTAATGGCAATACTGGCAGTGCCTAAACATGTTTACTCAGGGGTAAGTCCCATTGTGTTCAGTGAGGCTCACTCCAAGGCAAACTGGGCATAGAATTGCAGCCTGAGAAGATTCTACTAAGGCTTACCATTGCTGGTCCTATCATTGGGCAGTGCAGTTGCTGCTTCCTGGCAGCTGATGTTGAATTTCAAGAAAGGACAGCAAATTGTTAATTATTTATTGGTTTTCTTTTATTATGGAAAGATCCAACATCTTCAAGTGCTGTGTAAATGATAAGGGGAGCGGGTGGCGCTGTGATCTAAACCACTGAGCCTCTTGGGCTTGCTGGTCGGAAGTTCGAATCCCCATGACAGGGTGAGCTCCCATTGCTCTGTCCCAGGTTCTGCCAATCTAGCAGTTCGAAAGCATACCAGTGTGAGTAGATAAATAGGTACTGCTGTGGCTCAAAGGTAAATGGCGTTTCCGTGCGCCCTGGCTTCTGTCACGGTGTTCCGTTGCACCAGAAGCAGTTTAGTCATGCTGGCCACATGACCCGGAAAGCTGTCTGTGGACAAACGCTGGCTCCCTTGGTCTGAAGAATGAGATGAGCACCACAACCTCATAGTCGCCTTTGATTGGACTTAACCGTCCAGGGATCCTTTACCTTTACAGTGGTACCTCAGGTGACATACGCTGCAGGTTACAGACTCTGCTAACCCAGAAATTTTACCTTGGGTTAAGAACTTTGCTTCAGGATGAGAACAGAAATTGTGCAGCAGCGGCAGCAGAAGGCCCTATTAGCTAAAGTGGTGCTTCAGGTTAAGAACAGTTTCAGGTTAAGAACAGACCTCCAGAACAAATTAAGTACTTAACCCGAGGTACCACAGTATATCTATAAATGATAATAACTATTATAGATCCAGGCAAAAGTAGACAAAGAACATTAACTATATCTGACAACAGCTTTTGATTTCTCCAATTATCTGCCTATTTTAGTCACAGTAAATATTTCCCCTCCCCCTTGGAAGTAGGTCATGCTTATTCCCATAAATCAGGGATCAGGAATCTGTGGCCTACCAGAGATTACTGGACCTCAGCTCCAACTAATTTCCAAGTAATTTCGTTGTCCCCGAGAGGGGGTAATGACAATAAAGATATTATTATTATTATTATTATTATTATTATTATTATTATTATTATTATAACAACTAGTCTCAGTCAGCACCGCCAGTGGTCAGGGACGATAAAGTTGGGAGTCCAGCCCTACATAGAAATGTCAGGGGTTGAACCTGGGACATTCTACATTCAAAGCAGATGCTCTCTACCACTGAGCTACAAAATGGATACCTCTTTAAGAGAGGTTGAGAAGACATCAACAAAGGGGACAGAGGTATTTCCATATCCAGGGAGTCATAACTGAGAAGACCCTGTTATGAGTTGCCATGGAGTGTGCCATGATTATAGATGGAACGTTCAGCAGTGCCTCTCATGCAGATCTTAAGCCACAGGTTCCCTTTCTCAGCAAACTTACCTTATTTGGTGAACTTAATTTCTAGGTATAGTTACAAGACTTCGACATGCAGTGTCCACGAAGGCAAACAAAGTTCCATCCACAGCACTTTTGGGAAAAGGTAGGGGAAAGCCTTTTTTGACTGTGGTAGGAAATTAGTAATAGTTTTTCCAGGAAACCCTTCTCCAACAGCAAAAAAACCCCACACCAAAAAACAACAACATATATATGATCTAATATAACAACTCTTTCTATTAAACTTAGGCCCCTGGGAGCTAAAGCGTGAAGATATTGTCTTGCTGAAGGAAATAGGGAGTGGTCAGTTTGGAGTGGTGCAGGTGGGAAAGTGGAAAAAGAAATACGTTGCTGTTAAAATGATCAAGGAAGGGTCAATGTCTGAAGATGAATTCTTGGAAGAAGCTGAAACCATGATGTAAGCAAGGGTTTTCCCTAAGTGACGCTAAGTCCATATGTGCCTACCCGTACATTAGGAACTGCAGTAGAGATCCTTCTGACAGTCAGTACCAGCCCTGTCTGAAGCAATGCAGGTGGCAGTCACAGTGAGGGCCTTCTCAGTGGTGGCTCCTGTTCTCTCCATAGAATTCTACCTATTTTGTTGTCATTTTGGCACCAGGCAAAGAGCGCCCTGTTCTTCCAAGCCTTTCAGCCAAAATGTGAGCCCTGCTTATTGTATTGATCTGGCTTTTGAGATCTTGAAGCCTTTTAGTTTTTGTCTTCTGTATTTTAAGATTTTTCCTCCGCTTCCTTTTATGTAAACTGCCCTGGGAACCTTTGTTGAACGGTGATATAAAAACATTTGCAATAAATCAATAAATGAAAGGGACAGGCAATATGCAGCTCTCGGGGCCAGAGTGATTACCCTTTCCCTAATTTTTAATTGCCTCTGTTAAATATTCCAAAGGGGATTGTTTAAACTTTTTGGCAACTGTAGACATAGCATCCATATCGTTCATGCGATAATTTCAGCTTCAGCTCAGTCAGCAGAACATGAGACTCTTAATCTCTGGGTTGTGGGTTCGAGTCCCATGTTACGCAAAACATTACTGCATTGCAGGGCATTGGATTAGATCACCTTCTTGGCCCTTCCAACTCTAAAATTATATGATTTGCTGTGGTCTAAACCACAGAGCCTAGGGCTTGCTGATCAGAAGGTCGGCAGTTCGAATCGCTGCGACGGGGTGAGCTCCCGTTGCTCGGTCCCTGCTACTGCCAACCTAGCAGTTCGAAAGCACCTCAAAGTGCAAGTAGATAAATAGGTACCACTCTGGTGGGAAGGTAAACAGCATTCCCGTGCGCTGCTCTGGTTCGCCAGAAGCAGCTTAGTCATGCTGGCCACATGACCCGGAAGCTGCACGCCGGCTCCCTCGGCCAATAAGGTGAGATGAGCGCTGCAACCCCAGAGTCGTCCGCAACTGGACCTAACGGTCAGGGGTCGCTTTACATAACTAAGATAACCATAGGTTTTGTCTGCCCTATCAATGCCTTTAATATGAAGAAGCATTTTTGTCAGTTATTTACAATATTGTTTGATTAGTGTTTCTTTAGATGAGAAACATTTGTGATGCATATGAATGGATGTTCTGGCCAATACAGGTTATATTTGCACTGCAATCCCTATTGAAGCACTAGCCATGTCAAGCCTTCCTTGACTATATTTTTGATCCAACTAGTATTGCTCAGCCGTTACACTGTGTTATTAATTATTATGTCTTTATGTAGCTTCGGGGGGGGGGGACTCAGAATAGACAATAATTGCATGGGTTTCTGGAGGTGCATGCAAGTGCCCTGTGTATGTTTATATAAGTGTTAAAATCCAGTACTTCGTTTTAGGAAACTGAATCACCCCAAACTTGTTAAATTGTATGGTGTTTGCACAAAGACCTATCCCATCTACATAGTGGCTGAATACATGGCTAATGGCTGCTTGCTTAGTTACTTAAAAGCCCATGGCAAAGAGCTGCATCCCTTTCAACTGATGGAGATGTGCTACCATGTTTGTGAAGCAATGGCTTTCCTTGAGGAACATCAGTTCATACACCGAGATTTGGTAAGTTCTTGGAAAGCAGAACTTGGAATGGGTGTGGATTTTTTTACCAACCTGTGGTTGTTTTCGGGGTGGGGGGTGATTTAGGAGATTCACAGCACTGATCAGCATCACATCTGTTTCTAAGCTGATTTTGTTTCTTGTGCTCTCTGCAAAGGCTGCTAGAAATTGCCTGGTTGATACTGATCTTACAGTGAAGGTGTCCGACTTTGGAATGACAAGGTAAGTCTCAATCTTTAGCGTCAATGGGGAAAAATATTATCATGCTGATTAAACACACACACACACACACACATTAACGAGACATTCAAAAATGGCAGCTCTCATGAGAACCTAAGAGGCACCACATTTTCCTTCTCAAATAATCTGGAACTAAACTGCAGTCAAGTCATTCTGGGTTAAGAAACTCATGGCCGGGCTGCTAATATCAGAGTTGTGTTACTGCAACCAGCATCACAGACAGCAGCTAAATAAAGGTTTTGAGGTTGTTTGTTTGTTTGTTTTAAAAGAAGCTGCTTTCTCCACTGCTTCTTGAAGTAAGGGAGTATTTAGTGCACAACCCCCTCAGGGGTTTTTGTTTTTTTTGTCTGTCTCCATACAGTGATTGCCTGAACAATGTTTTGGCAATCCTCATCCCACTCCTGGCTTATGTATCAAACATGGATTGAATCTTCTTAAAATATTAATACATTTTAAAATACTATTTTGAGATGGATTTTTTTAAAATAGAAACATCTCTGCTTCATAGTGAGCTGTAAATTATTGGGGGGGCAAGGCGGGCGGGGGGGAGAAATTTGTCAATCCCTAAACTAGCCTCAAGCTAGTGGTTATATAAGGATCTTGGGAAGTTTTCACATCGATACTGTTTATAAGAAACATATTTTACATTTGCCGAAATGTTGTGAATTTTCAGTGCACATTCCATGTCCAAACCAGCTTCTACAAAAATGGTTAGACGGGTGATTTGATAACCAATATTTTGATATTTGTATTACTGGGTTGTAGCCAGATCAGTTTTACTCAGAGTGAACCTATTGACATGAATGGATCTAAGTTAGTTATGGGTTAGTTATAGGCCTGTCATTGGGTACAACCATCTGGTTGTTTTTGGCAGACATCTCAGCAGGTTCAACTGAGGTGTCACTCGGATACATCCTTCATTTTGTTCCGTGAAGCCTAAACAGTGAATCTTGCCTTATAGATATGTGCTTGATGACCAGTATGTGAGTTCTTTAGGAACTAAATTTCCTGTGAAGTGGTCAGCACCAGAGGTTTTTCATTATACCAAGTTCAGCAGCAAATCGGACGTGTGGGCCTTTGGTGAGTATGTAATGCAACTATTGAAAATGCTACATGAAGTGAAGAAAAGCCCTTAGATGTCGTTTATATAAATAAATGGACGGACCTGTGACTGATCAGGCACAGAGTGATGATATAATGCACCCTAAGGAATTCTTCTAGTGAAACCAATAGGACTTGTGCAGGACACATCCCTGTTGGATTATGCCCAGATTGTGAAGGTCTAAATTGCATAGACTTTCTTTGCCATATAGGAAATATATTTCCAAATGCATGGACAGCTCTTTGTTCTCTTTCTTTTTCTCTCCAGCTTGGCGTTATTTCCTAATTAAATAGCTCAGGGTCCCAAAGCAATTAAAACGTGGACGTTAACGCACTTTTGGAAATTCAGCAGGTCTTTAAAAAAGTATGCAGTCAGATAGATGATCAAATCTAGATACCACTCCTGCCGAGCCATAGCAGCACTAAACAAAAACAGAGGAAAGTATACCTCTCAGGAGTGGCAGCAACTAGTGCAAGGATGCTGTTTATCAGTTGCCGATTTGTACTGTGCCACACCTTTCCACATCCTGTCCATTTGGACCAGCTGCCAGCAGTTCACACAGAGACTGACATGCTCCTTTTTTTTGGCTTGTGGATATTTCAAGTGCACTTTAAAAAAAAAAAAGGGTAGCTGTGAAGTCAAAGAGAAGTAGCTTGGTGGCACAAAAAATGCATGACGGAACGAGAACAAGTTAGAAACACTTAAATTAGCGAGAGAGGCTGTGGGTTTTTAAACAGCAGAGGCAATTCAGTATACAGCTAGTCTTTCATCATGTTTTTACTGCGAAATAGCTTTGGGATTTTTTATGAGAAACGATTCATGAATGGAATGAAATAAATAATGGGCATCTTATACAGAATATGATGCTCCTATATCCAGAAATAACTGTCACACAAATAAGGATGCTTCCAGGCTGTTGCTATTTGGGGGTGGGATTCATTCCCACACCTTGCAAATTCAGGTTGCACAACTGAAGTCGATGGAATGGTCTTGCGTTACCAAAATACGACATTCCGCAATAAGGAAAGTGATGGGGGAAATGCAGTGAAAAGTGGGAGATGATGATTGCCTGATGCATCATCATCTAACATCCCTGTAAACAAATCGGAATGGAACCTCAACAAATAGCAGACGTCCTCCTAACCTGCCTGCAAACTTAGTGCCAACAAATCCACATGAATGCTCAATAAACAGATGGCCCGGAAGCAACCTTTTTTTATTTTTTAGTGTCCTTCTGTGTTTTATGTACCGTTATAATACCTTGTTTCCCCCCACTCTGTGGACATGTCTACAGGAATTTTAATGTGGGAGGTGTTCACTCTGGGGAAGCAACCCTATGAGCAGTATGACAATATGCAAGTGATTGAAAAGGTTTGCCTTGGCTATCGGCTTTATCGCCCGCAGTTGGCTTCCCAGGCAATCTATCAAATAATGTACAGCTGCTGGAATGAGGTATGTGTCCTAGTTCACTTGAGGCTGAAAAAGAAAAGTGATTTTACCCCCCTACCTCTCTGCTATTGCTGTCTTTTGCAGCTGTAGGCCTCTGGGTGTGCCTGGACCTTCTCTTGTCATTAAAGGCTCACTTATTATTTTAATGGGAGAGGACAAACTCCGCACAAGCACAGAACTTGTCACTCCATTGTAGTGAGAAGACTGAGTGTGTAGGAGTCCCACGTGTGTGCAGTGGTTTGGACTAAAGTGCCTGACTTTAAAAGATAATACATCAGAACTGAACAGAATCTTGAACAATTATGGTTTTCATAAAAGCATTATTTTGTCAAAGGATTTGCTTAAATTAATAAGAGAAGCATTACCTTCCCTGGAAAGCACATGCACACACACACACAACCTTCTTTGACTTTTTAAACAGGAAGCCTGTGATGTAGAAAAATAAAGCTGTAGTCCTGTTTTTGTAGCCTAGCACGCCTACAAAAAAATAAATGTGTTTGTGTACCTATTTTGATTTAGTCAACCTTATTCTTAAGTGCATCAGTAGCTGTGGACCCTTCATTTCACATCTGACCCCATTTTTTTAAAAAAAGTTTTAACACGGCTCCAAAAGGTTGAGTGTGTGGTACTGCCATTATTTATAGGTACTGATCCAAAAATACACTCCATGTTTTATTACTATGGCGCCTGTATTTAGGTACTGTTTAGACTGGTCACATTTGTGGTGGGCATTGGAGATGGTTCAGGTTCAGAAGGCATGTAAAACAACCCAGGTTTCATCCCCGATACCCTCTTAGATGAAGGCTCTCAAGCTTTTGGATTGGGAAGACCTCTGGCTAAGACCTTGGAGACCCATTCTCAGTCAGAGTACACAATACTGGGCTAGATAGACCAATGCTATGAGGATGAGCAAGGAACATCACGTGCTCAAAGAGGAGCTTGTTTGACAAACGTTTCCAAAGACGAAACAATAAATGAAATGTAGATGACCTTCGAAAGTTCTTCATGCTATAGCACAGAATGTTCCCCACATATTAAGGTTCCTACTAGCCAAGGCCTTGCGATGGGTGGTGGAGGAGGAGTGGGTGTGACTCATGGGGTGGTGATATAAGGCAAGGCCTTCTCGGTGATGGTGGTGCCCCAGTTATGTCCATGGCTTTGTTACACAGCTAGAGGAGATCTTTTAGTCTAATTTCTTCCACTTGCTGTACTGTGTTTTATTGTATGTTGGTTTTAATTATTGTTCCATGTTGATTTTGTGTGTTTTGTATTTGTTAATCGCATTAATAATAATAATAATGGCCACCAATCAATGGCAAGCGCTGAGTTGGTTTGTTTCTCCTTTTCATACAGCTGCCTGAAAAACGTCCCACATTTTGCCATCTGCTTTCTCTCATTGAACCACACAGAGAAGATGACAAGCACTGAAAGATTGTCCAGCCTTTTCTTTTGTGAGCCCTTGCACTAATGCCATCTCTAAAATCTGGTTTGGAAACTCTTACCCCAATGATTTATTAAACCAGTGAAACGGCTAAAAGGTAAATAAAAGAAATGGTATGAGAAACACATCTTGAATTTTTATTTAAATATTCATGGGTTGTTTTTCTTCTTCAGATTACAGCTTTGTTATCAGTTCCAAAGGCTGCTGAGGATCTGTATCAAGTAGTAGAATGCAGTCTGCATATAGCAGTAGAGATGGGAAGGCCTGGAAAAAAACCAGAAAAATTGGAAAAACAACAACAGTCCGTCTCCCCCCCCCCCCCCCGTTTTTTTCCAAAGCTATTTTTCCCCAGAAAAATTGAAAATAATAGTTTGATATAGTTTGAATATTCTACACACTTTTTTCTTCTTCAATTTTTCCAGGGGGGATACGGCTTTGGAAAAAAACGTGGGGAAACCTGGTTTTCCCCTGGGGTATTTTTCAAGGCCTTCCCATCTCTAAATAGCAGTAACATTTAGTTAGAAACATCCGCTTGTGCACAACAATCAGATTATTATATCATGAATCTATTACTCCTGATCTATACAGTTTTGCAATGGTTACCCAAGATGTGGGATAATCTTAGAAAAATCTTTACTGGTGTTCTTTTGGACATTTTCATACCCATGTCTCTAGTTAAGCTAAAACCAAATCTCTGCAGCTGTGGATATTAGAATAAAAGGAAAACAGTTCTTACAATTGGATTTAAAATAAAAATAAGTGCTTCAAGGTTAACACATAACTGGCTCCAGTGGCTTTTATAAAAACAAAAGGTGTTTCAAGCTTGCTACCCGGTTGACTGTCTTATACTGACATCCACTACATCAGCATTTGGTTTGGTTAAAAACCCGGGGAAGACTGTTGAAAACAAGAGTTTAGAATGGAGACATAAATGCACCTAAATGAATGGCAGGTTGCCAGCAATATTTCCCCGTTTGCAACCATGCCCATAAGGGTTTCTTCCTGGGGCAAATGGCCACTCCCAATGAGGGTCAGGGAGATTATCATCAGGGGAAAGGGTATGCGCTGTTATTTCTGCAAACGTTTGAAGAGACAAGACATCTAATTACAGATTGATTGTCTCCCATAGCTGGGCCCTGATAACTTTGGCTTGTGTGTGTGGCTGTTTTGCCTTGATCAAGAATCCTGCCCTTCTGGGTTTCTAGGGCTGGATTTCAGGATGTCGTACTCAGATATCCTGGAGCAAGAGCCACATGTGTAATGCTGAAGAGGTGGTTGGTATTATAAGCATTGGGGGTGCCTATTACTTTGTTGGAGGGGCTGAGTAGCTCATTTGTCCATTGGGCCTAGAAGGGTAAGGTCTCTGGTTCATGCCTTCTCTGCTGAAAACAGGTGATTGGTTCTGCCTAAATGTGAGCACCAGCAATCAGTTCTGCTCAGATGTGCTCTGTCCATCTGCTCCTGCGTACACAGAGCCTTTATATTTTTAAAACACAATCCAAAGCAATACAGTTCCGTGTGTTGTATTGCTGGCATTGACACACAGTGATAAATAAGACATATATTAGCTTTTCTGGTTTCCTTCTTAGAATGCTGTTTCAGATCCAAATGCGTGATTGTCTTTTCCAACTTCCTCATACGGATTGACTGCTGCAGTTTGGACTAACTGGTTATCTGCTGCTCTTCTGCGAATTAAGAAAAATTATTTTTGAGTTTCAACTATAAAAACCATGAACATGTGCACACACAACAAAGGGGAAACTTTTACTAGAGAAAAAGCAATGTTATACTTAATATGAGCTGTATATATATTCTGACAAACACCTACCTTCAATAGGCTGATTCAATTCACTAATAGGGACCGGAAACAATAGAATTTTCAGTTTGCAGACTCAGGTCAAAACTTGGTTCCCTTATATTTTCTCATCTCTTACATCAGGGATGGCCAATGTGGTACAGTGGTACCTCGAGTTAAGTACTTAATTCGTTCCGGAGGTCCATTCTTAACCTGAAACTGTTCTTTTTTTTTTTTTTTTATAAAATTTTTATTGGTTTTAGAAACTTTTTAAACAAAAGACAAACAAACACCAAAAATGACAAACATACACGTATAGTTTCAAACATATTTTCATAAACTTCTTTCCTTTGACTTCCCCATACCCCCCCTCTCTGCATCCCAGTGTCCAAAGTTCAACTAGCAACTCCCAATTGTTATTTTCCAATCTCTATCTTCTTAGTCCTCTTTTTTTTTAAATTTCTAACCTTATATCCCTGTATCCCTTTATTTCTGGAAACCGCAACATTTTAGCATTCATTAAGTTTATAGTAGTCCTTAAGATAACTTTTAAATTTTCTCCATTCTTCTTCCACCGTCTCTTTTCGTTGGTCACGGATTCTGCCTGTCATCTCGGCCAATGTCATATAGTCCATCACTTTCATCTGCCATTCTTCCAAAGTGGGTAGATCTTGGGTCTTCCAATACTTTGCGATGAGTATTCTTGCTGCTGTTGTAGCATACATAAAGAAAGTTCTATCCCTCTTTGTCACCAATTGGCCGACAATGCCCAAGAGAAAGGCCTCTGGTTTTTTCAAGAAGGTACATTTAAGTACCTTTTTGATTTCATTATAGATCATTTCCCAGAAGGCCTTAATCTTCGGGCATGTCCACCAAAGGTGGTAGAAGGTACCTTCAGTCTCTTTACACTTCCAACATTTGTTATCGGGCAGATGATAAATTTTTGCCAGCTTGACTGGGGTCATGTACCACCTGTAAATCATTTTCATTATGTTTTCTCTTAAGGCATTACATGCCGTAAACTTAACACCGGTGGTCCATAACTGTTCCCAGTCGGCAAACATAATGTCATGACCAATGTCTTGTGCCCATTTAATCATGGCTGATTTCACCGTTTCATCCTGTGTATTCCATTTCAGCAACAAATTATACATTCTTGACAATTCTTAGTGTTGGGTTCTAACAGTTCAATTTCTAGTTTTGATTTATCCACTTGAAAGCCAATTTTCCTGTCCTGTTTGAAAAGCTCCATTACTTGGTAGTATTGAAGCCAATTTTGTACTTTATCCTTCAATTTGTCATAGCTTTGTAATTTCCACTTATCTCCATCCTGTTCCAAAATTTCCCAATACTTCGGCCATCCGACCTCCATATTGAGTTTCTTTACTGCTTTAGCCTCGACTGGTGACACCCATCTAGGGGTTTTGTTTTCCAACAGATCTTTATATCTCATCCATACATTAAACAGTGCTTTTCTAACAATGTGATTTTTAAAGGCACTATGCTGCTTAATTTTGTCATACCATAAATATGCATGCCAACCAAAAACATTATTAAAACCTTCCAGATCCAAGATGTCTGTGTTCTCGAGGAGCATCCATTCCTTCAGCCAGCAAAAAGCTGCTGCCTCATAATACAATTTTAAGTCCGGCAGGGCAAACCCCCCTCTTTCTTTAGCGTCTGTCAATATTTTGAATTTAATTCTGGGCTTTTTGCCCTGCCAGACAAATCTCGAAATATCTTTCTGCCACCTCTTAAAACATTCCATCTTGTCGAGAATCTGCAAGGTCTGAAACAAAAATAACATTCTAGGCAATACATTCATTTTAATCACTGCAATTCGGCCTAACATTGACAATTTCAAATTTGACCATATTTCTAGATCTCTTTTAATTTCTGACCAGCATTTTTCATAGTTGTCCTTATACAAGTTCAAATTTTTAGATGTTAAGTATACCCCTAGGTATTTCACCTTCTTAACCACTGTCAAACCTGTCTCCTCTTGAAATTTCTCCTTTTCCATATCTGTTAAATTTTTCCCTAAAACTTTTGTTTTTTGCTTGTTCAACTTAAATCCAGCTACCTGGCCAAACTGTTGTATTATTTCTAAAGCCTTTTTCGTGCTAGTGTTTGGCTCTTGCAAAGTCAATACTAAATCATCTGCAAACGCTCTCAACTTATAATGTTTAGCTCCGACCTGCACCCCTTTGATCTGCTGGTCATTTCTTATCATATTCAGCAACACCTCCAGAACTGATATAAAAAGTAATGGGGAAATCGGGCACCCCTGTCGTGTTCCTTTTTCTATCTTAAGTTCCTCAGTCACAACATTATTTACAATCAGTTTAGCTTTTTGTTCTGAATATATTGCAGCCATACCATTCTCAAAACCCTGGCCTACCCCCATCCCATGAAGATTCTTCCTCATAAAGCTCCAAGAAATATTGTCAAAGGCTTTCTCCGCATCCACAAAGATCAGTACTGCTTTAGCGTTTATATTCACCTCTAGCTTTTCCAGAATGTCTATTACATTCCTTACATTGTCTGCCAGGTGTCTTTTAGGGAGAAAGCCTGCTTGGTCCCTATGAATCTTCTCCATCAACACTCTTTTAAATCTTTTTGCCAAAATGTCTGCAAAGATTTTGTAATCCACATTAAGCAATGATATTGGGCGGTAGTTCTTAAGTTGGGTCTTTTCAGTCTCAGATTTTGGTATGAGTGAAATATATGCTTCTTTCCACGATTCAGGTGCCTTTTTTCCCTCAAGGATCTCATTACAAACTTCTCTTAGTGGTTGAATCAACCATTCCTTCAACGATTTGTAGTATCCGGAAGTCAGTCCATCTGGTCCTGGAGATTTGCCCAATTGCATATTCTGAATGGCAGCCTCTATCTCTTGTTCTGAAATTCTCTGGCTCAAATCCATCTTACTTTGGTGGGAGATACTTTGTAATCCATATTTTTCAAGGAATTTATCTATGTCTTCTTCATTTTGCGGGCCTTGAGTGTAAAGTTTTTTGAAATAACTTAGAAAGCAGTTTCTGATTTCATTGGGTTTAGATATATTTTTCCCATCCACCTCTAGGCTTGTAACTGTATTTAATTTCTGCCTTTTCTTCAGTTGCCATGCCAAGAGTTTGCCACATTTATTTGCTGATTCAAAAGTCTTTTGCTTCATTTGCTTTATCTTCCATTCAATCTCTTGGTTCATCAATTCCATATATTGTGTTTGATACAGCTTGATCTCTCTTAGGATTTCCTGAGACTTTGGTTTTGTTCTTAATTTTCTCTCTCCTTCCTTTATCATTTCCAAAATCTTTTCTTTTTTCTCATTCTGTTTTTTCCTCTTTATTGAATTTTGTTGTATCAGAAATCCTCTCATTACCGCCTTACTTGCGTCCCAGATCACTCTTTTCTCCACGTCGGTCCTCAGATTTATTTCAAAGTAGTCTTTTAAAGTCTTTTGGGCCTTCGTGAGAATCTCCTTATCTCGAAAGAGGGTGTCATTCATTCTCCATCTAAATTGACCAGTTGTTGTGATTTTCATCTCCATCTTCAGGGCGTTATGGTCGGAGCAAGTTTTTGGACAGATTTCCACTTTCTTAATCTTTGGAGCCATTCCACTAGTAATCCAAATTTGATCGATTCTTGTCCAGGTCATCATTGCTTGGGAGAAGAAAGTTCCCTCTCTCTCCAGAGGGTTCCTTGTTCTCCATATATCTATCAAGTCCATATTTTCTGTCATTTCAAAAAAAGTCTTAGGGAGTCTCCCTTCCTTGCTTACTATTAGTCTTTGTGCCTTGTCCATGTTAGTGGAGACCACACCATTCATATCTCCCATGATTATCATATTGTAATCCAAATGGTCAGTCAGGGTTTCGTGAAGTCTCTTAAAGAAGTCAGATTTGCCTTCATTCGGTGCGTAAATTCCAACCACTAGAAATTTTTCTCCTTGTACTTGTATTTCCACTGCCAGATATCTCCCTTGTTCGTCCTTGAATATCATTTTTGGGGCCCATTTCTCTTTCACATATATTACAACTCCTCTTTTCTTAACTTTATCTGATGAAATAAATTCTTGTCCTAGCCTTTTATTAATGAGTAGTCTCCTGTGGGCTCTGGTTATGTGAGTTTCTTGTAGACATATCAAATCCAGTTGTTCTTTGTTCAATATATGGAATGCTTGTCTTCTCTTCAAAGGCCCATTAAGCCCATTACAATTCCAACTAAGGAATTGCAGAGCCATCTTGTTATTTTTCTACACTCCTCCAACAGCTCCGAGCTGTTGCTCTTCTTCTGATGGCGGTGGTTTTTGTCCGATCGAAAGGTTCAAAATCTCCAATGCTCTCCTCTGTTCTGCAATTGCGTCCACAGTCCCCTTCTGTAGGTCCTCCTGGTTTCTTGCCAGAAATTTATCCTTGTCTTGAATTGTCTTTATCTTCACCTTCTTTTGCTTGTAGTCAAATGACAGTCCTTGTGGGAACTCCCACCTGAAGCGGATGGAATTTTTCTTTAGCAGAAGAACCAAATCCTTGTAGAAGTTTCTTAAATCCAAAATATATTTTGGGATGTCTTTAAAGATCTGTACAGCTGAGTTTCCAATTCGCAAGGCCTTTTCAAAATGCAGTCCTAATATTTTATCTCTTTCCTCCTTGGATCTGAGTGTGATCAAGCAGTCTCTTGGGGTCTTTCTGTCTTGCTTTTTACCTAATCTGAAAGCTGTCGTAATTTTAAATTCGTCTTCCTCAAGGTCCCAACAATCCACAAACTCACGAGTCAAATATTCCACAAGGTTATCTCTTTCATTCTCCGGAATCAGTCTTAGTTTCAAGTTTCTCTCTTTTCTCTGTAGGTCCCACAAGGCCAAGGTTGCATCATGCTCATAAACCTTCTTGGCAATCGGTTCTAGTTTCTCCTGGGTCTCTCCAGCAGTCGCTTTAGCCTCTTCAGCAATTTTACGCGTGGTGGCGTTTTCTTCCACCAATTTATTTATGGATTCTGTGTTCTGGTTTAGTCTTACCGATATTTCTGTTAATTTTTGTGTATTCTCTGAAGTCTGTTTTGTCAAAGACTCCAGAGTTTGGTTTATCTTGAGCAGAGCATCTGTCACAGCTTCCATAGAAGCGGCTGTTCCTTTATCTTGTCCTGTAGTTCCTGCTAGTCCGGCTGTCACACCTGAAATTGAGCCTCTTTTCTTTGTCTGTAGCTGCTGCAGCTGTTGTTGTTGTTGTTGCTTGGTCTTAGCTCTTGTTACAATCTCTTCTTGTGGGCCACTCATGTCAAGGTCAATTCCCACGGTATTTGTTCTTCGTTGGAAAATTCCACTGTCTTAGGCCGTGCCGGACTTTACTTTATCCTCTAGAGGGAGCAAATCAAAATGGCCATAGAACAAAATGTCCCAATACAAAGACAAAGGAGAGTGTCCAGAAATGCAGAAAAAGGAAAAAAAAGGAGGCTTAACACAAACCAAGTCAATAATTCTGAAAACTTGCAAGTTCAAATTGCCACAGTTGCCCAGTTTATACTGCTTCTTCTTGTAATATACTGTAGCCAAGCACTGTGAAAACTTTGTAGCAAAGTGTCACTTTACAGGGAAAAGTCAGTTCAGTGTCCCAGAAAGGCAGACCGTTTCATGCTTTCAGTAGGTGAGACAGCAGAGATTTTTTACTTCAAATAAGTCATGCAGTTATTAGTCTCATTCACCTCCCCTCTGCCCTGCTAGCTAGAGGGGAGATCAAAGGTCTAAATGTCCGGTTTAGCAGATCAAAGAACAGGTTTCAACGGATGCAAGTTTAGAGTTCCGTTGCTTTCACTTTCATGCAGTCGGGGGGAGGCAGACTTCCTTGATTTAAATCTCCCCGTTTTCAGCCCAATTTTACGAAATTTAAAAGGTCCCGATTATTTTCAGCTCTTACTCACGGGAATTCAGTCCAGATTTACTTTTCAGGAAGGAATCGGCGCTCTCCGCTTATGGCGACGCGGCTTCACTTCGCAGGCTGGGTAGCGACTCTCAGCACCGCGCTCACTCCCGGTGTCGATCCGTAGCCTTTAAAAAGGCTCTTTCACGGTACCGGGGGGCGCAAAGGTGCCCACCGAGTCTCCTTGTTCTCAGGCTTCAGCGCCTGGGATTTTAGGGGTCCCCCGCTCGCCGTAGCGGGTAAGACCCGAACTTGCGAAGCAGTCCTTCTCCGGAGCTCGGAGGTAGGACCGCCATTAAGCGCTGGCACCGACCGGAAGTCCAACCTGAAACTGTTCTTAACCTGAAGCACCACTTTAGCTAATGGGGCTTCCTGCTGCCGCCGTGCCGCCGGAGCACAATTTCTGTTCTCATCCTGAAGCAAAGTTCTTAACCCGAGGTAATATTTCTGGGTTAGCGGAGTCTGTAACCTGAAGCGTATGTAACCTGAAGCGTATGTAA